AATAAAAAAAAATAAAAATAATAGCTTAGCCAGGCATGATGCTACACTCCTGTAATTCTAGGGCTCTGAGAGTCTGAGGCAGGAAGAATTCAAGTTTAAATCCAGGGTGTGAAACTTGATGAGATCTTGTCTCAAAATAAAAAATAGAAAACAGGCTAGGAATGTATGAAAGTCCTCCCAGAGAAAAGTATCTGTGTTATAACTGTTTGGATTCTAAGTGGAAGTGTACTATAAAATTTCTTGATGATATCTTGATTACTCAAAAATCAAATATTACAGTCTCAATGAAAACATGAATGTCTTGATTTACTGTGTTCTGAATTAGCTTTAAGTAGTAAATTTATTGTTTGTAATTTTAAATAAATATCAACTATACTTTCTTTTTAAACTTTTGTCAAGACAAAAGAAAATATATAGATCTAGTTAATTAACATATGTTCAGTGAGAATTTTGAGGGTGTCAGTTAAATTATTCATATGGTTAGAGAAAAGATATAGAAATCAGTAGTCACAAAAGTGAATTACTGTATCTGTGTTAAGATTAGGAACATCTGTTCATCAAAAAATACTATTAAGAGAATGCAAAAGCAAACTATGGACTAGAAAATATTTGTCACATGTAATCATGAAGGGCTTGTGTCCAAGGTTATCATCTCTAGGTCCCGAAGGAGAGGGAAAGCATGCTGTGGTGAAAGTCCTGAAACTGGAAGGGGGACAAAGGACAGAGGACAGCCTCTGACTCACTGGCAATGTTTTGTTTATTGATCTATAGGGTGGTTCAGTATATGTTTGCTTTGTGATTATTCATTAAAGGATGACTTTATGTTTCTAAGCATTTTGAGCAAGTATTTTATATCAGTAATATCCTTAAGTCCTTTTCAACTATGTAATAGCCTTATTAGGCTATACTTCACATATCTTAAATTCATCCTTTTAAAGTATAGAATTTAGGCTGGGGAGATAGCTCAGCTGTATAAGTGCCTGCATGGCAAGCACAAGTTCCTGAGATCGATCCCAAAAACCAAAAAAAAAAAAAAAGTATAGAATTTTATGGCTTTTAGTGCATTCAGAGTTATGGAACCATCACTGTTTTCCGAACATTTATATTGTCCTAGAAAGGAACCCATTTGCCACCACACTCCATTCTCCCCTACCTCAGCTTTAGGAAACCACTAATTTACTTGGTGTATTTGTTTAATCTGGCCATGTCATAGAAACGAAATCATACACTGTGTGGTTCCTTTCCAGTTTTTGTCCTGATGAGAAATAGATATAAGAATGAAATGGGTACAAGTTGAAACCATAGGTTTCTTGCTATGCTGAGGCTTGACCTTTTGCCAAGTCAATCTGTCCCAAGGTGGGAGTGTCTGGGTTCATGCCCTCTCATTGCCAATTAAGGAACAGAAATAGAAGGGAGGTGGCAGTTTGAATGACTGTTCCCAATGTCCTTCTGCTGTGTAGAACTGGAATCCAAATAACCCATAATGTGCATTCTTTAAAAAAAAAAATCACTGTGCTTTCAAGAAAACAAAGGAGTATGGCATCTGTTGCAAGGTGCTGAACTGAGCCTGAGACTCCTACATAAGCTGGGGATCCTGTCTACAGGAAGCTCCCTGGCTCCCAGGTAGGCACAGCACATGCATGGCAGGAGCAAGTTAGATTCTCTCAGGAGAGTGATTGAGTTGAGGCCCATGGTATACAAGAAGATATGAATTCATGATTGAAAACTGGACAAAGTGGGAGAAAATGTACCACCTGAGTGAGTGAACAAACAACAAAACAGTATATTTAGACCTGAAGGACTTCTGTTGTGGAGTCATCAGGTAGATTGCAGAAAATGTAATAAGTAAAGGTGCCATTTTTAAAATGAGCAAGAAGCAAGCTATTATTTAAAAATGACCAAGCAGTTTTGCAAAGGATCTGATAGAATTAGAAATAAAAATATATAGTTGTTAAAATAAAAAGTCATTGGGCAAGTTAAGCAACTGTTTATTAATGGGCACACTGTTAGTATTTTGATATGACATGTGGTGTACTATTCCATCAGTTAGTAGTTGAGCATCTTGACAGTGAGGGCCATTTGCATCACAGGGGCAGAAGTAGACTATTCAAAAGATAGGCATGGTGGGCAGGCCTGATAGTTCAGCGGACTAAAACACCTGCTTATGCAGAGTGCAGCAACCGGGATTTGATCCCCTGCATGCTGTGACGGCCCTGCCTGTGGGGCACGCTGAGACAGTAGTTGAGACCGGGCATGGTGGCACACACCTACAGTCCCAGCACTTGGGAGGCTGAAGCAGGAGAATCACTACAAGTCTGATCTGTGTAGTGAGACCCTGTAGACCCTGTAGGCCCTGTCCTAAATACAGAAAAATAAATAAATAAATGAAATATAATATATAGGCCTGGTGTACTCACTTGAGCAGCACATAGACTAAAATATTAAAATATAGTTGTTTAAATGGGTTATCCATAGAAAAAAAGATAATGAATTCTGACCTTGTATAATATTAAAATGTCAGTCCCTCATGAGTTAAAAGCAGAAAAGCTAAAATTTTTCAAGTTTTAGAAGACACAGAATATCTTTACAGTCTATTGTAGAAATAATACTTTATGCAGAACACAAATAATACTGGTTATCAAAGAAAAGATTACTAGTACACAGTCCAATTAAGAACTTGTCCTCACCAAAAGACGTTACCAAGAAAGTGGAAAGACCAGTCAGCCATTACAAGAATAGATTTTTCACACGTGATGAATTGGTTCCAGAACATTTACTGAAGTCCTGCAAATTTTTAAGGAAAAATTAATAAAGAATGGTAGTTATTGGTATTTCACAACAACCAAAATACAAGTGTCTGATAAATGCATGAATGATGATCACACTCAGTAATGGTGAGAGAAATGCAAATTAAAGTCACACTGAAGCAGTGTTTTATACCCATTACATTCACACCGTTAAGTTTTCCAGCAAGGGTGCTAGTAAGGAGGTGGCTCACTGGAAATTTTTATGTTGCTGGTGGGACTGAAAATTTTACAACTACCTTGGAAAATAAATTGTCATTATTTTGTGAAGCTGAACATGCATATACTCCATGACCCAGCAGTTCAGTTTCTAAGTATACACCTTAAAGAGATTTTTGTATTTTATATAAGAGACAGAAAAACAAAGAACTGATTGAAACATTATTCTTAAAAAGCAAAAACTGGAAATGGTACAAATATTTATCTTGGGAGATTATATAAAAATATAGTATATTCCCACAACATACTATATTGAACTACTACATAGCAGTAAAAATAAATAAATTATAGATATATTCTTCAACATAGATGAATCTGGGGGTTTGCTTTTCATTTGTTTGTTTCTTATTTTTTTATTTTCTTTTTTGGAGACAAGTTCTCTCTAAGTAGCCCTAGCTGGCCTCAAACTTAAGATGCCCCTGCCCTCATGTTCCAAAATGCTGAAATTATAAGTGTATACCACCACGTGTAACTAGGTTGGTTCTTAAGTGTTCTTTTTATTAATTGACTTTGGAATACCCATTTATATTCTTTTTTAAAGCATTTCAAATATCACAGAGAGGGACAACTGAGAAAGATAGAAGCCTTCCAGATCCACTCTGGTGGGTAACTTTGACCGGGGTCCAGGTGTCCTAGGTTCGGAGAAAGAACAGAGCAGACTCACCAGTGTGGCTAGGAGGCATATCCCCCAGAGACTGACAGCAAAGGGCAACTGGAAACTTGGAAGTATTAGACATTTTCATTGCTTTGACTATGGTTGTAGGCATGTACTCATCTCAAACTTATCAGACTGTTCACTTTAACTATGTTGGGTTTACTTCTTTTGTTTTTGTTTTTTTGAGACAAGATCTCCCTATGCAGTTCAGGCTGATCTTCAGGCTGGCCTTTGTAGCCCACATTAGTCTTAAACTTTAACAATCCTCCTGCCTCAGCCTCCCAAGTACTGAGATTAGAGGTGTGCATCATCACACCCAGATACTTGAGTTTACTTTAAACACATATAGTTTATTGTATCAATAAAGCTATTAAAAGTAAAAAATAAAATAAAGAGATTGAAGTCAGGCTTTTGTCCCACCCTGTCCAGGGCAGATTATGCCATTGTCCTTCTATAGAGTGTGAAGTGACAAGCCCATACTCCCTGCCCCAAATGCAGTTCCCTCTTTTTTTGGAGCATAAGTATGTGAGTTTTGTTTCTTCCAGCCTAATAATGACTCTCCACCCCTCAAAATGTTGTATGAATTATTTTCCATACATTGCTGAGTGAGGGTCATCAGATACCTGATTCTTTGTGAGTTTTCCAGAATCAATATTGATTGTAGAAATAGTTGAGTGTGGAATATTAAAATAGCTGATAATTTGAAAGAAAAAAAGAAAAGAAGAATGTTCCTTTACTTAAGCGTTGCTTTGCTTTTTCAACTTTTATGGCTGAAACAAGCCCCTTGCGCTGGAAGTGAGCATCCTGACATGAGGTTATTCTTGTATGCCAGATGGTGTGTTGAGAGCCACGCCTGCGAGTGAAGAGCAGCACTGCAGCAAGAAGCTGCGCCTGGAAAAGCACCCCGAGGGCCTGTCCATGCTGCAGTGACAGCCTTGGGAACTGTCACTGCGCTCCTGCCCTGCAGCCCCGTGGCCAAGAAAATGAAAGATTTTGTGAATCACTGAAAGGTTTTTTAGGATATGTTATTGAGAATATTTTAACTTTACATTTATTTATATATTTTCTAGAGTATGGCAATGTATTCCTTTATTATACTAAATGAGAGAGCAGTAACGTAAGGAGACCCAGCTTCTTACTAGCAGAGACAGATTTCTGTTTATCTTGAATTTATACAGAAGTTTTAAAAGGGGTGGGTTCACTGGAGGTCACACCAAAAGATGGAATTATAGATCTTTTGAGAATTATTAATTTCTTTGGATTACAAGAGTGACAATTAGTAAATTGCTCCAGGAAACAAAAGGCAAACTGATCATATTTTTAGAGTCCATATATAGCTAACCAAAAGATCACATTTGTATCCAGATCTTCCTGGTAATCAGAATTTACTTAATTAAGACTGACTAATAAAGTTGGTGGACCTGGTCTCCATTTTAATAGTATTTTTTTCAAATGCTAATATCTTGGGCTGGGGTAAATTAGTAGAGTGCTTGCCAATATGTGCGAGGCCCTGCATTCAAATCCCAGAACCACAAAAATAAAATAAATTTCTCTGAAGTATTTCAGTGTATAGATTCACAAAGATTTGTTGAACTAGGGCAGTTATGTCATTGATTTTTGGTAGCAGTGGGAAGAAAAGATTATTCTGAAGCAGTATTGCTGTTTGATATCACTGACACTTGAGATCACTAAGAATGATCTTCAGAGTTGATCATGATGTCCACAGAGAACTATTTGAGTGTGGAATATTGAAACCAACAGTTTTAGAATTTCATTAATAAATCCTCTTGTAAATTTTCGCTTCCCTATTATTTGACTTTTTTTTTTAATGTATTTTCTGCAGGGTCTCACTACTCACCTCAGGACTTGTGGTGATCCTCCTGTTTTAAGCCTCACAGTGCTGGGATTACAGGCGTGCTCCACCACACCTGCCTGTGGGGCCAGGGATCAAACCCCAGTCCCAGCTCTTGATTAAGTAGGTGCTTAGTCCATTGAGCTGTCTCGCTGGCCCTCCTTTCCCTATTATTAACATGGATTTGATGTTAAAAAAAAAAACAAAAAGGAGGCCTTTTAGGAACCTTTGTGAACTCAAGAATACTGAAAATCTTCAAAGTAAAAAGATCCATTTCAAATTGCTCTTTACAATTTCTCATTTTGAGCTGCTGAGAAAACTTGCAGAAAATTAGTGCAAAAATGAACATGCAGGGGCCAAATAAGTGAATAGTAGAAAAAGTGCTTGCCTAGCAAGCACAAGGGCCTGAGTTCAATCCCCAATTCTGCAAAAAAAAAAAAAAAAAAAAAAAAAAAGACCCCCACAGTGCTTTTTAGGGGCTGGGGAGATAGCTCAGTGGAATAAGCACTTGATTGTCAAGTGCAAGGTTCTGAGTTTGATCTGTGGTACCACCAAAAAAAAAAAAAAAGGAACATGTGTTGAATGCCTTCCCAGGATTATAAAGGAAGGCCCACAGACCTAGCAAATGGTGTCTCATGAGAAACAGCTCCCCTGGCTGTGTGGAGGTATTTGTTTGCCTTGTCTTTTCTTCCCTTTTCACAGCATCGTGTCGCATCAAGGGGTCTGCTACCAGTTTTTCAGAATTGCATACAGGATAATCCACAGGTTGACCAGATGTCCTGCATTCCACAGAATCCTGCTTCTGCCCATTGGGATCTCAAAGTCCTCATATACCACACAATTGAGAATTGCATTAAACATTTACACAAATTTGGACATGGGATAGGGGAGGCACAGGGACTGGATTTATGTCCTTTTATTGAACAAGAAGAAAAAGTGCCTGCTGAGACTTTTTTGGTAAATTTGACTTTTCTGTGTTTTTCTTCCTCAACATACTGAGTTTGAGAATATACCATTCACTCATAAGCCTTCATCTTTATGCATAAACAGTTTTGCCTTAGGATCAACAATAGCCATCTGCTTTTGAAATAATTTAGAGCAAGTGGCATTGAACACCAATCTTTAAATCCTGGTTTTGCCAATAGTGGCCACCTGGCATTGGGCTGTGGTGTTTACTGCTGTGTTGTAGGACTAAGCAAGCATAAGGAGTTTCATTTCATGTGTAATATTACTATCATGTGATCTTTTTGTTGTCATTTAAAATTACAAAATGTTGTCAGACATGATGGCATACACTATATCACTGACACTTGAGTCAAATGGGTTGTGGGTCAAAGACCCACAACCTGGGTCTTTGTGCTTGCCAGGCAGGCACTTAGACCACCAAGCTACCTTTTTGTCCCTCAAATTTTTCTCTCATGATAATATTCTGTGATGACTTTCATAAGATGCAAAGATAACTAGTTACTCTAACACGGGACCCAGTAATGGTTGGCAGGGGAGGTTTATAGGGCGGGGGTTTTCTGACTTCCTGAACAAGCCTCCAATCAGGTGCATGTGGGGCCTGCTGCAGAAAGTGGTCTAGAAAGCGTCCTCCCTTTAGTTTGGGTGGTCACTTTGTCCCCTATAAGAAGATTCTGAGTGGGACAACCAAACTGTCTGAGCTTCAAGCTATTATTAGTATTTAACAACTACAACAACAAAATGGAAGTAAGGACCATCTCACTGAGTATGATTGTGATAGCAGTGGCTTTTTTATGATCAGGTATCAAAAGGTGGACTTGGGGGCTGGTAATATAGCTCAGCAGTACAGCACCTGCTTGGCAAATGCAAGGTCCTGTGTTCGATTTCCAGTACTCAGAAAAAACACCAAACAACCCAAAATTTGAAGATGACAGATTTTTAAAAAGCCTTTTAAAAATTAGGTTTATCCCTAGCATAGTGGCACATGTCAGCTATTCCAGAAGCTGACGTAGGCAATTTGGAAGTTCAAGGCTAGTTTGGGCAATTTACTAAGACCCTGTCTCAAAAAAAATAAATATAAAAATAAAAAGTTTTTAAAAGTAGTTCAGTGATAGAACACTTAATACAAAAAACATGGTTTTTGTATTATACATTGCTGTCCTTGATCTCATTGCTTATGTCTCAGAGATCAGCATACAGAATTAGTCAAGGTGAACATTCTACATATTTAACTGCTATTTTCCAAAAACTCATGGAAGTTGTCCTGTATACACACTTGCATGTTTTCCTCCTTCCTTTTTCCTCTTTTCTCATCTTCATTGTTTATTTTATTTATTTATTTATTTATTTATTTTTTGTATTTTAGGAAAGGGTCTACAGGGTATTCAGGGTCTCACTACTAGATCAGACTCATAGTGATCAGCCTGTTTACAGCCTCCCAAGAGCTGGGATTACAGGCGTGTGCCACCATGCCCAGTCTCAATTGCTGTGTCAGTGCACCTTGGGGTCAGGGCTGGCACAGCAGGCCTAGGATTCACACCCCTGGCCCCTGCGCCTGCTTGCAGGCACTTTAATCACCTGAGCTATTTGGCTGGCCCCTCATCTTCATTGTTTAATCCTTAAATTCAGTTTTTCTCTATTTTACTGTATTATATTTTTCAGGTTTTATTTCTTTTAGCTTCTTACACTAGGGAGACAATACAATGTGGGTCTGATTAATTTCTCTTATGAGTATGGCCTCTAGTTGCATCCACTTACTGTAAAGGCTTCAAGTTTATCTTTCTTTATAGCTGAGTAGTACTCCATTGTATAAAAATACCACATCTTGCTTTGGATGTTTAGCAGGTGCTGACAAATAATTACAACACTAAGGCAGGGATTTTGCCCTCAGTGGCTCACAGGCCCCCAGGCAGGCTGCAGACTGTGACAAAACATGTGGAATCTCTCATGGGTACAGATTGGATTCATCACAGTTACCAAATCAAGAATTCCAGATAAAGTGTTTCAGCCTTCACCTGAAGATTATGAAAAGTATGGTGGGGATCCACAGCACCCTCATAACCTGCATGTTGTTACCAGAATAAAAAGTATGATAAGATGACCGTATTGGGAAAAAGATATAATCAAGGTGCTTGGATTAGAAAAAGCACACACTCCTCAAGTTCATAAGAACATCCCTTCAGTAAATGCAAAACTGAAAGTGGTCAAGCATCTCATCAGAATCCATCCCCTGAAGCTGCTGCAAGGACTTCCCACAGAAGAGAACATGGCTAACATGTTCCTCAAGAGTACTGGGGAGTTAGTGGTGCAGTGGCAGCTGAAGCCTGTGGACACCTGTAAGACCCGCACTCAAGGGGCTAAGGCAGAAGAATCCTTGCAAGTTCAAGGACAGACCCAGGCTACATAGTTCAAGATCAGCCTAATAACAAAGTAAGACCTTGACTGAAACCCAGGAAACTCCTGATGTCACAGAGCTTCTTATTTTTAAAATGCAAATTATATTTAAAGTTGTTGGGAAGCTGGGCATGGTGGTGCATGCCTGTGATCCCAGCACTCAGGAGGCTGAGGCAGGAGGATTGCTGAATTTGAAGCCAGCCCACACTACATAGTGATACTATGTCTCAAAAAAAAAAAAGTAAAGTTAGTGAGAAGATGTTGTCATTAAGATATATTTTCCATATGTTGAGCTGTAGGGAACTCAGGTCAACAATTTCTGACATTGCCAGTGAAGAGGAAGACCCAATACTATAATGGACTACTGAACTCTTTTAGAATATTTTGCTGAGTTTACACACCTATAATATTTAAATAATGGAACTTAACAACAAAAGGGGATACAGATGAATGTCCATTTTGTATCTGTATTCAAAGTGGTTAGGATAGATATATAGTTACATTCTCTTAATGAATAGAGGGATTTGTTCTAACGGTGTTTGTAAATAGGATATCATGTCCGCAT